AAAAAAGATTAGTAAAGAACTAAAAACATCAAAACCAAATCCACAGTGAAAAAACGCACATAACCACTTATAAGAACACCAGAAAAGAATGCAAAGCCATTTCACAAAAACGCCGAAGAAACACGTAAGTTCACAAGAACACCGGAAAAATCTCACAAAAAAGTTGGGATGCACGCAAGACCACCCCACAGGAACATTCTGCAAGACCACCCCACAGGAACATTCTGCAAGACCACTCCACAAGTCACCAGCGACGCAAAATCAATTCACGAAATCTAACGGTGGCACCAAACCAACAACGACAACAACACTAGCGATAACAACGACAATAATGACGACACCAGTGACGACAAGACACTAGTGACTACAAGGCACCAGTAACGACAAGACACTAACGACACCAACAGCGAAAAGTGGCAAGCTAAAAAAAAATAAATAACAAGCAAAAAAAATTAATAACAAGTGAAAAAAAAAACAAAATATGGTAATAAAAAAAAAAACAATGATTATCAATCTTTGATAATCATTGTTTATATAGAGGGGTGTGGGATGAACTGAACTGACCCCTAATCCAGCATCAGTATGCCAGGTGGGAGATGTATCTCTCGTGAGAGATATATCTTCCGCAAGAGATGCCTATAATTTCTCTTTATATTAAAATATATTAGATAGTATAGATACTTTAATATTTAGCGAAATTACTCTAACCCTAATTAACTATCCTGTTTCTACTTACAACATATATCTGTTTATAATTTTAAACTTTCATATTAATAACTTGTAAAAAAACTAAAAATTGCAATTATTTTGTATTAAATATTGGTTAGATTTGAATAACAAAATAGATCAAGCTTTATTAAAACACTAACTAGATCTATAATTAGCTAGAATAATCCCAAAATATTGGCTATCAACTAGAATACGATTTATATAATCATTAAAAATGATTAATTAATATATCTTATTGATAGTACTATATAACTGGTCAAGTAACTAATACTTTAGAAGCTATTCTGGTTAATTCTATTTTGTTAAATGTAAATCAACAGAAAAAAAATATAATATTATAAATTTTTTTAAACAAGAAATAAATATGCCTTTGATTATACAAACCAATTAAAAAATATATTAAAAGAATTCTTTTAATATATAAGTACTGCAAAGGGAAAACCTGCAATTGTGAGTTTTTTGAAATCAATTTTATAGAAACAACTTATTAAATACATAATTCATTAAATAGAATTTATTATAGAATTATAATTTATCAAGAATCTGATTACTGTTTCTGAAAAGTGAAACTAGCAAAAACTGAAATTGCAGGTTTTTACTTTGCAGTACTTATATCAAAAAGTTTGCTTAATTGGCAAATAAATTAATAATATTAGACTAGAAGTATTGATAATATGAATTGAATTAGTCTTAATAAAGTTTATAAATAGTTTGAAAAAACTCAATATTTCAAAATAAGATGTGAATATAATTACATATGTATAGTTCTTATTAAGATTCTAAGAATCCAATTTCTATCTTAGTTAGATTATTTAGATTTAAAAATTAAATCTAAAAGATTTGAGGCAAAGTAGTAAGGTATATTATTTAAATAATACATAAGATGCCAAAATTATACATAAATAGTATTAATTTAAGTGCTAAGCTAAAATACAATTATTTTAATTATCATGTTAATATTTAATAAAATAATAAAAAATATATATATATAAAATAAATAATTATTTACTATTACTCTGCTATTTTTGAATATTCTAAGATACAAAGCTTTTTAAAAAATCTAAATTCGATAAATAATTATTTTACAAATCGGTCTTTAACTTATACTAGAAGTTTTGTAACGTATATGCTTACTATATACAAGCAATACTCTGTACTCTTATTCTAAACAAAAAAAGTTATTAAGTGATGTGTGAATAGTTTGAAAAAAATTTAGAGACAAAATAAAATTGTTATATATAAAAAAATATATGTATACTTGGTCACTAAACCTCATATAACTCATTCTTATCAAAGAATAATGAAATTGTCATCAGTTAATTCTAATAATATTTCAGCCTCAAATTCTATTTCAATGCTGAGCTCTTTCTAACTATCTATTAATATATATATTATTGCAAAGAATGCAACAGCACAAAATGATGCTATTGCAAAAATTTAAGAAGTAACACAACAAATAGTGAAATATAAAAAGTTTTGTTTACTTATATCAAACCAAGATTTTAAAAATTTAGTTTTGTTAAAAATTGAAAAAAAAATAATAAAAAAAAATGAAAAAAATTAAAAAAGCTTAAAAACCATACTGAAGTATAAGCAAAATTTAGAATAAAGAAGTAAAAACAAATTAATAAAGATAAAATAGTTAAACAATATAACAAACCTAGAAGACTATTTGCAGCAATTCTTTACTTAGATCTTTAGAACAAAATCTATAACTATGCTGAATTTGGTACAGTATATATGAAAAAAACCATTATTAAAGTTCATACTATTAAATATTTATATAAAGCATTAAAGGAAAGATTTAATATATATATATTTCTTGTTAATATTTATTTACATATTTGGAATCTTAGCAAAATATACTTTTGCTATATATCATTATCATCATCTAGCAAAGGTTAATTTTGTATTTATAAGTAGAACAGATATGAAACAACATGTTAATAAGCATTACTGCTTGGCGTCTGTCAAAGTAGCTTGCAAACAAAACTACTATTATCTCTCAAGACGACAAGGCCAAAATTGGTTTAGATATTTTTGCAGTAGGCTGTATCTTTAAAAGTATTCAATCAATAAATAAACTCATTATAGTTAAAGACTATGATTTTGTAAAAGGAAATAAAATGAAACTTTTACCTTTAGTGTATCTTCTTATTGATCCAACAAACTTAGATATCAATCTTTATACAAGTCAACTTGCTATATTTATTAGGCCAGAATACTTTATAGATCAACCTACATAGTAGATTTATTAAACCTTTTTTCAGATCAACAATTTGTTTTTACTCTACTAAAACAAGACAAAGTTAAACCAATTTTGGTTCTTCTTGTTGATAGAGGATCAGATGAGAATCTTAAACATTTTAAAAATATAACTGAATATTGTAATCTAACTATTTGTATATATGCTCTAGACCAGAATATTTACAATCCTATAGAACACATCATGTTTTTTCTTTCTAAAAAGCTTGCTAGTATTATGCTACCTGTAGATGAGTATAGTTTATATTTAGATACTTAAGAAAATATTATAAATAAAAAATTAGCTCAATATAACTAAATTTTTAAAAAAGTTACTATGTAATATTTGGAATAAAGACAATATATATAGAAAATTTATAAAAATACAATATATTGATCAAAGAGGTTAACCATTCTTAAATATTAAGTCTTTGATATAGAAATAGATTGAGAACTATACCCAGTTATATTATTACTCAATAGATATAAAAAAAGTAAGAATTATCAGTATTGTAATGAATATAGAGCCCCTGATACTGCTCTTTTACTAGATCAAAATAATAGATTCCTCTCTTTTGTTACCAAAGGCAAAACAGATATTTTATTGATCTGATACATGCTTTTCAATATTTTGATAAAGGATATGACAAAAATCAGATGATTTTTTAGGAGGGAGGGGGTAAAAAAAGTTAAAATTATATATAAGAACCT